AATCGGTTTGAGCTAGAAACCGAATCGACTACGACTAAACCGATCAATCATGACAACCCTACTAAAAATATGAATTATTAAATCTATCCTGTTGTTTTGAACCGTGATATGAATCGTATTGTAGCACCTGAATCACAATATGTATCGTATCGAGACTGCAGTGGCAATACCTAGCACTAGTGGGAATTATCAATGTGTGTTTTCCCCTTGTCAGTGGCGCAGGACAGAGGGAACGAAAAAAAAAAAAAAGAATTTCATATAGAGTCAGTAAAAACTTCCCTCATATATTGTGTATGCATGTATTCATTAGCCTTGTTCATGCACAGAAGTTGGACTTTAAACCCAATTTAATTTCATTTATTCTAAAATTAATGACAAATATAATTTGTACATGTACATTTGTATGTGCGAGTGTATAATAATAATAATAATAAATAAATAAGCATCCAGTTTAAAATGTTAAAAGTTCTTATTTCAGTAAACAATATCTTTCAAAATCTTATTTCTTACATGTACATGTATCCTGTTTTTAAATTTTCTTTAAAAATTCAATCAACATTTCAAACAGAGTTTCTACTTCAAAATTTAGATAACGCACAGTACATGTACATGTACATAACATGTAACTTACATTTTTATTTACATACATTCTGATATCGTAAATTCACATGTCTTTTTGTTTTTATGAAGTAAGCTTACATAAAATATTTTATCGGAATAATAACTAAATCTATAATATTACCAAACCAACAATTTAAATTATTGAATGAAAACAGTTAATAATGTAAACAGTTAATAAAACCAACTATAAATAGGAACTGAGAGAGAGAGAGAGAGAGAGAGAGAGAGTTTAACTCTACTGGACACAAACTAGGTCATTTCGGGACTAACACATGGTTCAATTTTATTTCAACAATTTGCTTGCGCGTATGGGGTCTTGAGCAGTGGGAGGAAACCAGAGGACCCAGAGAAAACCAACGAGGTTGGCAGACGACCCTACCCCTTGTCACATACATGTACAACTGGGGAATCGAAACCACGGCAATTGACTCAATAACAGACCCTATGATACAGCGCGCACGTGATAATCATTCAGCCATCCAAGCCCCAGAACTGAAACAGGATTTGATTTGAAAGACTACAGTATTAAAACCAATGAATCACCATTCTCTGTCAATTAGAACAATATATCTATCACCTTATTACTTTTAACTCAACTAATAATTGTAAAGGAAACAGCTGTTTACATCTGTTCTAATTATAGATTTTTAAACAGAAATATCTTTATTATCACATTATTTATACAATATATAACATGTCATATTATCACACATGAGTGATGAAATAAGTGTTAAAAACCAGGAAGATGAAGAGATTAGAGAAACCCCTTTCTACATATAAAAGTACAAAGAAGTTTCTTAATTGGGTGACAACACAACATCATACCATACTCTACTGAATTACCACACTAATATACATGTACTGTCAGACATTTTTATTTTTTATTGGTCACATTCATGATGCCAATGAACAAGACAGAGAGAGAGAGAGAGAGAGAGAGATATGGGGGAGAGGAGAGAAAGATAGAGTGAGGGAAGGGGAGAGATGTGTACATGTAACTCCACTCGACACAAACTAGATCACTTCGGGACTAACCTAGTGTACAATTTCATTTCAATTACAATTCACTTGTCTGTACAGGTCTTTACACTGTAACCTAGGTATCATTTAATCTTGTGTTTTTAGCACTAATTTCTTTTACATTCAGTCAATATAGAAAAATATTCGTAAAAATCGTTTAAAATCACCAAAAATCATATAATTTGTACTTGTTTCCAGTTTAAAGCTGACCATTCAATTTTGATAATAAGTGTCGAAGTTTAAAGTATTTAATTTCTTGCTTTTTATGAATTTTTAAACAAAGATTTGAAATCAAACGAATGTGAAAGAAGTCAGTACTTGATCCACAAGATTAAATGATACCCAGGTTAGTGTTCGCAGTGCCCGTCTTCATTAGCCCAGTCTGATCGGGTAGAACACTAGACGTTATGTACATGTACGTATATCAATAAATGATACCAGCACTACTAGTAACAGATGTTCATCCGATAGTTTTCTTTTAAAATTAAATACAATTCACTTTATTAAAAAACATAATTTAATCAATTATACATTTATGCTTCATTTTATTTAATTTGATTTATATTATCAGGAGGAAGACTCGATAGTAACTATGGTAATACAATGTACTTGTGTAATGAATTTATGAATTTAAAAACATGCTTCACATTTTATTGATAAGTTTCCCCCTATATTACTAGTCAACACTTGTACTTGTATACATGTAGGAATGATATATTTCAGTTTATACCCATAATATGTAGTTTACACAAATTGATGACAACCATTTTAAACTGTGCTGAAGTGTCATGATTTTTTAAGTAATTTTTTAAAGATACATTATGGGAGATTAGATAAAGAGCTGGCAGCTCTCAATATAAAAGTTAAAACAAGATAATGTAAAGGGAATTTGCGGTAAATTTCAGTCAAATTGATCCACTCTGAACTGAGAATTTAGCGATTGAATTCTGGGCCTGTCCTCGATCATCATTACTAAAGTCTGTACGATAAAAAGCCTACCCGGTAGTTTCGATTATCCATTTTTTGATTTAATTATCAATGAGCGTTGAGCTGCAGTGCAGATTCAAATCCATTAAATATCGCAGGCTAGCGATGACGTCGAGAGTTGATTATGGTCTGGATAAGTTAATTAATGTCTAATTAATAATTTAGCAAACATTTCAGGCCTAAAGAAAGACTTGTAATAGGCAAATTTAGCTCTTGCATAATGTATGTTTAAGTAATAAACTATAGGTAATATTCAAGAAAATGAAAATTTCTCTTTAGAGAATGAACTGAAAGGGGATTAATGTTGTTTGGATTAATTTGAGACAAACATGTCATGTTTTTAAAATTTTTTAGTTACATGTACATGCTTTTGTGAATCGTCATAGCAAGATGAGTCGGAAGTCTTTTACGATATGAACAAAAAATTTAAAATAGATTAAAAATATCTTTTTAATAATATAATAACACGAAAGGTTTAAAGTTTAGATTTGACATCTGGTCAGTGAGCTAATGTGTTACTCACTAAGCCAACATGGTGGTGGACCCTAGGCAAGATGGGTTTTACAATGTAGCCGTACCTGTAGTGCAGGTATTTAATTACTTGATTGTTTTCTTTTGTGTTAAAAGGTAATTATCTTTACACCTGATACCATTTTTCAGACTGATACTCCTTTTAGAGATGGGGGTTGGATGACCGAATGGTTAACACATGCGCGCTGTATCATAAGGTCTGTCATTGAGTCAACTGACGGGGTTTCAATTCCCTGGTTGTACGTGCCAAGGAGTAGGGTCGCCTGTTCAACCTCGTGGGTTATCTCTGGGTCCTCCGATTTCCTCCCACTGCTAAAGACCCCTACGTGCAAGTGAATTATTGAAATAAAATTGAACCGTGTGTTAGTCCCGAAATGACCTAGTTTGTGTCGAGTGGACGTTTAACATTTAACCCCATTTCTCTCTCTCCTATTAGAAATTCATCCTTTACCAGGACTTTAATCTTACGAATTACCATAGTTCAAACATTTAGGCCGAGATAATCAAATTATGTATTCAAATAACTAGAGATACATGTAAACTGAAACTCATGCAACCATTCTTGGTATCAAATTCACTGAGATTACACTAAATGGAGCCAAATTATCTCAAGAAAGCATGACACACAGCATGGCACTCGAGTGATAATATAAACAATTTTACAATCCTGTCTATTTTAATATTATATCGGAAAAATCAAACTGGTTTGTTTCATTTTTAGACTCTTCATAAAGTGACCAGGTAAATTAATACGGTAAAACAATTAATTTGTCAATCCGTAGAGAGTATCTTGTGCTTTGCAGTAAGTGCTAATAATAACCTAATGTATACAAATCTTCGAGCGGGAATTAAAGGACATTAATTTACTGTGATATATTACAAATGACATGTGCTATATGAAGTATTTATATGGTCTTTAGTGAAAGAAAACATTGTTGTGGCTACCATTTCTGGTTTTGAAGGTCAGATATGATAAGAAAACAAATATCGGTTTGTAGTTTTTTGAACCGTTTCACCAGTGCAACCGAACCGTGACCGGTTAACCAAGTAGCGTATACATCCTTAATTATTAGGCAATCAAGTCTATGATCTTTATCAAAAACAATAGGTTGGTAGGCAACAAAACATATGCCAAAATATTGAATATTAAATCTTGTACCTTGTCAAACTATAGACTAGTGGATATTAATGCCGAGCTAGTGCCTGACAGTAGACTACTAGCCCTGGGCTAGTGGATTCAAAAAATTTTTTACGCCCCTGAAGCATGCCCTGGCAATTTTGCACCTTTAATGCTTGTATCATGATCTTGACCTCTCTGAACAAATTCTTAGTTTTGTCACAGATTAAGCACCTGCTACGCCATGATTAAACGCTTGCTTGAACCATGTGGCATGTGTCAAATTATATAGGGACCTATAGGTATCAATGTATAGTCAGGGATCTCCATGAGTTAAAAATTTAAATTAAACAATCTAATTTGAACATCCCTGATCTTACTCTATGTCAAATCAAATTTTATACTTTTACCGATTGACAGTACTAGATCTAAATCTACTGTCCCTCAATTTTTGTAAATTTGTGTAAATTGATGGCAATAAAAACTTATTACCCGTACCATATTTGTTTGTACAAGCATGGACCTTATAAGGTACAAGTTTACAATTACATGACTGGTTTTCTTTGTGGAAATCACCAATAACTGTAATGGTTATTGATTCTTTGACATGTCATGTTATGATGTTCACTGATTTGATACTAATAGACCTTTACCACTAACATAACACTAATAGGATAGCCAGTGGCTCTGATCAATGAACGATGAAAATTTGGATAATACTTACTGACTTTGTCTGAGAAGCAGCAAGGGTGAACCTTCTGAGTTGCTGGCAGCTGTGGGAGAGGATGATTTCCCCCAACTGCCACCACTGCCAACGTTTGATAAACTCTTTGACTCTTTCAGTGTTGTTGTGCTGGCAAATAATGACGTCGTCGTCTGCGTTTTATCTATTTCAGGGCTTGAACTGGACGAAAATCGGGATACTTCTAAGACGGAACGCCTTTGATCTTTACTAACTGGTAAAGACATGAATGTTTCTACAACGTGCAATATTGTCAAATAATTCCCTTCACAGAAAATAACCAAAATAAATGAAAATTATGGTTATAAAACATTCTTCCGATTACAAATTTTGTTTTTAGAAGGAACTGATTATAATACGGAAGTTGGATTGTTTCGTATTAATTATAAAACATTACATATATAAATTCAAAAATAATTTATAGTATAATATACCAGTAACAATAAAATTAAGTAAATCTGGGAAATTGTCTTAAGAAAATAATAAAGATGCTTTTAGAATGAAGTACGAAACTACGTCGTGTCGTCTCATATCCCACAATGCAACGATAAATTCCAATCAAGTATGGCTGACGATTCAGACGAAGAAAGATCTGCCGTAAGTATTTTTTATATAATTCTCTCACATGAAATTATCGCCGCACTTGTACAATTGTAAAATTTAATTTTTCAATATATGGATTACATAGTACAGTTCGACAACATATTGTACGTCAATGTTTTAAAGAAAATGGATGGTATCCAATGTCAACAATGTGTTGTGACACTAATCATTCCGATTCGTCGAATGTCAAATGAAAATATAATAATAATGTGAATAATATCAATATTGTGATATTGTTTGCGTGGTGATGACTAATTTTTATCCAGTGTTCGAGACTCGCGTCCAAATACAAGGGCTTAGGTAAAAGGGACTAATTGTGGCTGGGTCTAGATTATTGTTACGACGATGCTTTCAGAGCCTTAGCTCAGGCCCGGATCCAGGACTTTGTCAAGGGGTGGCATACATTGGAGCAAAAGGTAATCATCAGACTCAGAGTGCCACATACATAAGTGGTTTGCAGTAGTGGCGAGGGGTGGGGGGCACGGCCCCCTGGATCCGGGCCTGTGGTAGAGTTGAAATCCATTGATTCAGAGGAGTAATAGAAATCGATGGTCGTAACAATAGCCACAGGACTATTTTTTACGACTATTCAGTTTTTAACTTCGCCAATGGAGGGCTCTGAAAGTATCGTCGTAACAATAGCCTGAGGACTATTTTTACGACTCATTACAGAGGATACATGTAATGTATGTATACGCCACTTTGCAAAGAATATATAATAAATTTACCACTGTTCGTCATTTGTTGACTCAAAGTTATAAGCCAAACCTGACGCTAGCATACAGAATTTTTCACTTTTATGAAATACTAATTATAAATTTTACATAAAATAGCAGACTCTGTATCTTTAGCTTTGCTGAAAGCAGCACTGTTACTATGGTTATTTGCCACCCAGGGGACGAATATTCTAGAAATGCATACCTAAATTTGGTGATGAATAACTATTCTTTACCCAGGTCGCAATAAACCATGCAATCTCACTTTTATAAGAAATTAAAGATATGATGATGTGTAAGTTTAATTGGGGTTTATTAACTTACTAAGCTGATCTTGTACTTTACTTCCAGGCAAAAATTCATCAGAATCAACCGTATGATGAATCTCTAGAGGTACCGGATTCTGAAGAAATAGCCAGTACTTATTCTCCCACCCCTAGAGTACCAAATCCTGCAGGTAATTTGTGTACTGCATTAATACTATATTTAGTAATATATCTCAATCTAGAAATATTCTATTCATACAATTTTAAATGTTTTAGAAACTTTACCATCTAAATTAGCCATTTTATATAAGTAGTCTGGTTGTTGTTAATATCTACATTAATATACTTGTCACATATTGTTAAGCAAGTTGTATTCATTATGTAGTAGATAGCAACCACTTTCCGGGTTATTATTTAAAATTTGAATTCAGAGGGCAGAACATGCATGTTTTATTTCGAAAAACAACCCTGATTGTTATTTGAAATTTGATTCCTAAAGGTAGAGCCTGCAGGTTATATTTCGAAAAATAACCGTGGCAATAGGTTGGTATCTGACTTATAAACTATAAAGATTATCTCCAAGTATCAACGCGCTGCTCATCTTGTGCACATGAAATTCAAGCATATGGTTATTGTATTTTAATTCATTGTCCCTTGCCAGAGGGAGAGCCACGTTAAAAAGTCATGGTAAACTCTCTCCAGGGAATCTTTTATGTGCACGCTAATGTGTACACAGGAGCTCAGTTTTTCATCCCATCTGAACAACTATACATTGTCAATTGCTAGGTATTCTGTCCTGCTACTTGACAATGGGGAACCACGGCGAAAAATCATAATTAATTTTCTTGGCCAACCCTGGAATCAAATACAGGAACTCTAGGTTAGCGAGCCAACGTCTTACTAACTTAGCGACTGCAACTCCAGTGAAGGCCTATAAAGTCTTGGTAGCTTTTCTTTTTAAGTATAAAAACTACCAATATTACTCCTTTTTGCTATAATGATAAATTAACATTAATTTGTTTTTTTGATGATAACAGCAAGAGCTCGTCAAACTCTTCAACAACCAGGTAAATAAAAGCATGTATAATGAGTTAGAAAATTCAGTTTAAATTAGTTTAATGAATTAAAAGACTAAATATGCCCATGTAGGCTTTTGGTTTATTTTGTTTTAAATTATTCATAGCTATCTTTGGTTACATAACTTTTTTGATATTTTTTTTTTGTAAAATTGAATAGTGATAACATAAACGTAGCATGTTCCTTTCCTCCCATAAAATAGTGTTTACGGTGTATAGTTTGAAAAAAATTAATACATATTGATATGGTGCATGTATGTATTTGTGGCTGAGCCATAATGTGTTGTGTATTAAAGATGCATTATGTATGATTTAGATAAAGATCTGAACATTCTTGCTATAATAGTTGAAAAAAAGATAATGGAACGTGAATATGTTGAAAATCTCATTCAAATTACTTTATTCAGAGCAAAGTTATAGCAAAGATCCATTTTATAAATAAATTTTTAAATTTATGAATGATGTTTAAATGGTCCAGAGAGTTGATTACATGTATAGACTCAATAATAGTTTATATAACATTTGAAGCCAGAATGCATCTTTAATAGAACATTAGAAACTAAGTTAGTTTTTCTTTACGCGCACATGGAAATGTGGTTGTATATTGCCAATCTGTCCGTCGACCCCAATTTTTTGTAAACACTCCAAGACCACATTTATTATTTGATTGTTTTGAAATTGATATGTATAGTTTACATTAGTGAGATGAAGAATCCTATTTAATTTCAATTTCTTCTGGAGTTATGGCCCTTGTTTCACTTTGTTGCACCTTGTGAATGCTCTAACAACAAAAGTTATCATCTGATCTGTATGAAATTTATATGCAATATGCATCATTTCAATTAGTGAAGCAAAGAAGCCTATTGTATTTCAGTAATTTCCTTTAATTACGGAAGATTTAGCTGCTGTGGGTGTATGTTTTGTTTCCTGGCAACCTTTTTTTTTCTTTCTTTTTTTTTAAAACAATGTACAATGTACAAGTTAGTAGTTTATAGTACCGGTATTGCACATAAATTTTTTAGATTTAGAAATTTTGCTATTCAACTCATTATTCAAAAAGCATTTGAATGTTCAGGGGTTTTTGAAGCATTTTCAGATTTCTACAATTTATTTAAACACAAATTTTTCTTTAATTACATGGGTTTATTTTAGTATTAGGCCTATTTGATTTCGAATTCCATTATGCAAATGTTGTCCTCAAATAACGAATACCAAATTGAATTAAATTCTGTATCTCTTATGTTTTGAATACAATCTGATTAAAATACCTATTTTTGTTTCATTTTTTTTTATAATTTCGATGGCCTCTACTACATGAAGATCTGACCAGTTGTAGTGGAATGTCGTGTCAGAGGTCATACGAGCGACTTTTGAACCTATGACGTCAGACATTCGATTAACCTATCAGTTTTGATGTTTCTAGTGGGTTACCCACAGTTCCGTGCACCTCACGTCAAAAACTCACCATAACAGACTGTTTCATTAGCTAATCCCTCACATCATCGAGAACGTGGGTTATATAACAATTCTTCCAGATCCTAGTGTAGTAAAGACAAGTAAAACGAAATTTTGAACTATAAAAAAATGAAACGAAATAGGATCTGTGTTTTTATCAGATTGTTTTGAATAGTGCAACCTGGTGTTTCCTACAAGTTAATTAAGTCATAGTTCATAGTGAAAACTTTTTGTTTGTTTATGACATACGTGTACAAAAATAAAAGTTATATACTAAAAGTGATTAGTAAAAATAATATTAACCATAAGCTTAGATAATGACCCTAGTGTGTGCTATGTAGCATATAAACTTTACCCTGTCCCTAACTGACAGCTGTATTTTTAGATGTGAATTTAATTAAATATGTTGTTTTTAGCAGCAAATATAGTGTTCAAGTCAATATGGTGTCCTTCTCAGACACCCACAGAGAAGCCATGTGTTTTGGGAATTTTGAATGGGATAAATACTGAAGAGCATATAACTGAAACTCTCACAAAAAAGGAAAATTGACATACCCCAGTAATGGTTTTATAACAAAAACAGCCCATTGTCTTAATGAAATGTATATTTCACAATACATGAATAATTCAAATAATAACAACTTTCATATTGTAGGTAGAGGTATGAGTCGTGGAGATTCTCCTCCTCGATCAGATCTGAGTGATGGATCCGACGATGATGATGATGATGATGATGATTTTGAAGAAATGAAGGTACAATTATGTTTTATTTTATTTATTTTTTTTAAAACAACAGGTTTAGTTTACACTCCTATTCCTACTGCCATAAACACTCTATTCTCTGCTATTAGGGAGCTCAGTAAGTAAGGTTCTTCTATTAGGGAGTTCAGTAAGTAAGACTCTGCTATTGGGGAGCTCAGTAAGTAAGACTCAGCTATTAGGGAGCTCAGTAAGTAAGACTAAGCTATTAGGGAGCTCAGTAAGTAAGACTCGGCTATTAGGGAGTTCAGTAAGTAAGGCTGTGCTATTAGGGAGTTCAGTAAGTAAGGCTCAGCTATTAGGGAGTTCAGTAAGTAATGCTCAGCTATTAGGGAGTTCAGTAAGTAATGCTCAGCTATTAAGGAGTTCAGTATGTAAGGCTCAGCTATTAAGGAGTTCAGTAAGTAAGGCTCAGCTATTAGGGAACTCAGTACTGAGTAAATAAGGCTCTGGGTTACTAAACAGGAGATTTGCTGTTCCCTAAGATTTACCAGCGTGGTTTTCCCTTGTAGTGCAGGTCGGTTCTGACAAAAAACCTGAGATTGTGTGTATACATTTTGGCGTGCACGTAGAAGATCCCTTGACAGTTGGAATTCAAAATAAGATTAGGCCCTAACACCACTGTCCAGACAAAATTTCTCTCATAGCACACTGCAGGGCATATGCCCATCTTTATTAACTCAGTCGGTGCAGAAAATTAAGAATGTTTAACCCCATTTGACTTCATTAGCGGGAACTTTCAGTTCTTTCATGCATCTTTAATGTGTTTTGTGATTTAGACACCTACAGTAGCTAAAGCACCAGCTGTTAGACCAGCACAACAACAACAACAACAACCAGGACAGCAACAATATAACTCAGAAGATGATGATGATGAAGAAGGATCTGATAGTACAGAGGATGATGATGAAGATGATGTCCATGTTGAAGGGTAAGAAGACATCTATATTTAATTCATCAAAGTCCCTGTCCTAATGTTATCAATATAATTAAATCAATTCATCAAAATCCTTGTTTATGATAAAATGGCCCGGGAAGGACCTATCCTAATTATATTATGTTCAATGACATGTTGAAGGATTAGAATTTGAAGCATTTCAAATTTCAAGCATTAGAGATACCCTCCCATGTACAATCTGTGTGATTTGTTGATATATTGTGACTAAAAACATAATCAAACTAATTAATCTATCAATAATTTGGTTCAAATCCCTCTCATATCAACAGATGCTGAGCCTTAGGAGAATAAACTGCATATGAAAGACGATACCGTCTTTAATCGTTGTCCATTTATCATAAATATTGAAGCCTAAGTAAATTTTTCAATTATCCCCTGCCTAGGTCATTTTCAGTGATTTTTATCATCCACCATCAAGTTTATCAACAAATGCATGTACATCAAGCGCCCGAATCATTTTTGTCCTGTGTGCGCTTCATTGGGTGTTTTTCAAGGAATCCAGTATTTTTATAGTAAGATTAGGTGTCTTTCCTTTCCATATATATCAAAATTGCTATATTTTTATTGGAAAACTGATAAATACTTTTGTAGGATGTATCTTTAAAATCGTCCAAAAAGACGAAGGTTTTCAATTGCTAAGCAGGACCTTCTAGGGTCCTGTAAGCCCCCCCCATCATCCCCTTCCGGTGCCTTTACGTCTATTATATATATATGTGGTAAGTTAGATTAGTGTTTATTTATTTCAGAGCATATGATCCAGCTGAATATGATAATTTACCTGTTAGTCCTGAAATAAAAGAATTATTTCAGTATATTACAAGGTATGTAAAAAGTTCCCAAATTTCCTCAACAAATTGCTTGTTGTTTTAAGATGCAAGAATTTAACCCTGTATAATCTAAACCATCAGTAAGTTTTTCTCACACAGTGTGCGATGCCCTGTCGTAGGTAGTGTGTAGGGTGACTCTGTTGTGATGCCACAGTGATCCAGTGCAACAGCCATATATTGTGTACATCTGCGTCACCTAAGTGGTATTTATCTGTCACTGGTCATAAAGGGCTATGGAAGCCTGTCACAGTTACTATGTCAAATCTCACGACACTGCATTTCTCAAAGAAATGTGAATATTTATATATTACTTTGGCATTACTATTTGTGTCACCTTTGCGGTAACAGAGAATTTGGCAAAATGTTGAACTTTTTCAAAAACATTTATATCACCTTACTACACCGCGGAAAAACACTCTATTTCACGGTGGAATCTTGGAGAATCGCTAGCGAAACGGCAGCTAGCCAAATCACCGCGAAATAGGGTGTTTTGCGGTGAATTATGGTGTTTCGCGGTGAAACACGGTGAATCGCTTAAGTGCCGATATCATCCCGATGTAAGCATGTTGACGAAAAATGTAATTTATTTAAGTTGAATACAAGATATGTTAACCGTTGGCGAGGCAGCTACGGTCGTATTTCTAACACACTGTACATGTATAACGTGGTGCACTCGTTTTATTTTAGAAAAGAATAACTGTAGGCTCGATAGAAGAGCCTATTCTACATGAACCCCAAACCAATGGTAACTGTCAACTTGTATGTTGTCATTCTAGTGCAGATTTGTTTGAATAACAGAAATGTCCCGTGTATCAAGATCAAAGAATAAAATCGCACGTAGCCACTCTTTGTTGTTTTTATGCGAATTCAGTTAATCTAAAAGGGGCTCCGGCGCAATTTAAGGAATTATTTTTGAGCCAATATTAACCATCGCCAATTTTTTAAATCATGGGATAAAGTCAATTAACAAACAATACGGGTCTACTTTATTACAAAAACATTGGTGAACTTACCATTTTGTCTAAAATCATAACGCTAATCAACAAACAATACTATTGTTCTTTATTACAAAAACATCGGTGAACTATATTGTTTTGTACATATTGTATTTATTTATTTGTTTGTACTATATGTTATACCTGATGAGTCTTTGGCTTAAAGGAATAAAGAATTTGAACTCGAACTAATCGCTGTCGGGATGGCGAGCCAAGCTAGTTGATTATTAGGTAAATAAAACAATATAAACAACCAATGTGTAAAAGTGATCTATTCTAATCAATTAAATAATATACAAGTCAAGTACCGGTATTACCTTAACCGTGGACGGGTTTGCTTGTGGACGGGTTAACGGACACTCAACTTACAAATATTAATTCATCGCCGTATTGGCACTGACTGACGGCACTTCTCGTTTAATTTATTGTGTTAATTTCACTATTGTTTAAAATGTAAACAAAATCTTATCTCGAGTAGGTAGTACCGTATATCGAGCTAGTCTAGTAAGTAGTAGGCTAGGTTAATCCAGACTAAAACGAAAGTCCTTTTATTGTATTAATAACATTGGCTTCTGGTAGACTCGATTGTCATCTAAGGGATTATATTTTCTTTACGCGGTCTATTTATAGAACAGTAAAACGATTGTAAATATTGGCGCGATAAAAATTTATTTATAAGTCCAAGCTATTGTTGATAGAAAATAATAATGATTTACGTGTATCATAGATAATATTAAGTAACAATAGAATGAAAATACTGTTTGTTGTTTTTCGAGTTTTAGGCCATTATTACTTTTTTTATGCATATTTTTGGTATGAACTTTTTTGGACCAGTAAAATCTCATTCGGTCCAGCAATAGTTGGAATAATACCTGCCCAAATGTCCAGTAAATAAAATAGCATTTCGCATGGACTGCAGGGTACATGTATATGCAGTAGAAAATCGACAAGTTGGACGTACAAAAGAATGGAATCATTCAGAAAGTGTACTCAAAATAAGTAAATTATAACGGGTTGAAGACGAGAATTAACACACTCGTGGATATTGTATAAATATATGAGGCGCATGTAATGTACACGTATGTGTGTGTGAAATGGCTTTATTCAATATCTGCTCCCACCGAAATGAATTGGGTGACATAAAGTAGATGTATATTGTCACAGCGGATATTATTCGCCGAGTAAAACAGCGTAAGAATATATACTATTCAAAAAAAGTAGGGGATATTTGATTTTGGGGGCATAATACTAAAATATGCAAATGACTACGAAAAAAGTCACTATAGAACCTAACAGAAGAAACATTTCCAGTTACATGTGACGCCCAAACGCACCAATAGCTACCGCATGGAATGCAGGTGATGCTTGGGATCATCATGGGGGTCCAACCCAAGATTTGCACATGTAGTCCCAATCTTTGGCGCACCATAGATACACACCATAATCAATAGAATTCAAATACAATATTTGATTATTGTAGAATTCAAATACAATATTTATTTATTTTAGAATTAAAATTCAATATTTGATTATTTTAGAATTAAAATATAATATTTGATATTTTAGAATTCAAATACAATATTTGATATTTTAGGTATACACCACAATCAATTGAATTAGAACATAAACTGAAACCATTTATACCAGATTTTATACCTGCTGTTGGGGATATTGATGCTTTCTTAAAAGTAAGTCACTTTATTTATTAATGATGTCTGTGTATTATTTGTGACAATGGATTTTCCGGCTTGATTCCCCCCTTGTCAGTGGTGCAGAACCGAGGTCCAATGCATACATTGGCGTGCATGTAAAAGATCCCTTGGCAGTTGGAATTCGATATAAGGGTAAGCCATATTGGCACTGCCCAGGCAAAATTTCCCTCATAGCACACTGTATGGCTTATGCCCGTCTTCATTAGCCCAGTCGGAGCAGAACAGTAAGACATTAAACCCCATTTCATTTCATTTTGTGATAACGGCTCTGTCTTATTAAGATTAGATCTGCATTATATAGATCAGAAATTAAGGGGCATATGCTGAAATAGGCTCCGTCCACCCATCCTGTTGTTGTTGTTCGTTCTTTTTAATGTCCGCTTCGACCTAAGGTTATATCGTTGACAAGTCATATTTTTATTATCTTAGCACAGTACCCGGAGTAAACCCACAAGGTTGAGTAGGCGCCCTTATCTCCAAGCCACATGGATACAAAATTTAAGTTAATGTTTGGTATACATGGGTGAATTCTGTTGATGACTTGAGTGTTCTTTGTGTCTCTTGGAAATAAAATTAGATCTAATTTGTATATTCATGACATATTGAACCAGTGTATTTGTAATTGAATAATTTATGGTTGCATCAGTAAAATTATGTTTTATTTTATAGATCTAATTGGCATATTCATGGCATAGTGTATCAGTAAAATTGTCTTTTATATTTTGTAGATAAGTCGACCAGATGGTAAACCAGATACCTTGGGTCTCACTGTACTTGATGAACCCTGCGCTAAACAATCTGACCCTACTGTCCTTGACCTTCAACTTCGGGCCATATCCAAACAAACCATGGCTAAGCAGTTGGTAAGTTGAGAAATGTTTACGTGTAAATAAGCTGATTTTTGTGTTATATAATATAGACCAATAATACTTATTGAAGACATATTTTGCAAAACAAGATGTCAGACTTTAAGGAAAAACTTGGAACTTTATTCTGAAAAAAAAACAAAATACAAAGGCAAAATGACTTGGAACATTTTTTCATTTGTGTTTTTTCATATAGATATTATTTAGTTTATGTGAGATGGTTACAAATAATACAATAAAAATTTCGAAACAGGGGGACTCAGATTGTGTTTTTATTGCTTTTTGGAAAACAACACAAACCAGACAGACTTTTGAATCAAGGGGGGGTTGGATGGCTGAATGGTTAGCACGTGCACGTTGCGCTGTATCATACAGTCTGTCATTGATTCAACTGGCGGGGTTTTGATTCCCCGGTTGTATGTGACAAGGAGTAGGGTCACCTTTCCACCCTCGTGGGTTTTCTCCGGGTCCTCCGGTTTCCTCCCACTGCTAAAGACCCCTACGCGCAAGCCAATTATTGAAATAAAATTGAACCATGTGTTGATCCCGAAATGACCTAGTTTGTGTCGAGTGGACGTTAAACCCCATCTCTCTCTCTCTCGCTCTCTCTCTCTCTCTCTCTCTCTCTCTTTTGAATCAATATTTTTAATGTTTTAAATTTCAGATTGTAAAAAGCTTAGATAATGCCGAAAAAAATCCCAAACATGTTGAGAATTGGATTGAAAGTATTCGTGATTTACATCGATCAAAACCTCCACCCAATGTACATTATTCTAAGTAAGTATAATTTCACAGATTCTCATAGATTATTCCCTTTTTAAAATGAAATGATTTGTACTTTCAAATTATGAGTAGAGATTTTGATTATCTGTTGATTAAATATATTATTATGTTAAAATAGAATTTAATAACATATTTATTTCAAAAGGTGGTCGTGAGATTTAACGCCTGTGCTTTAGATCTTAAGGTCTGCACAGTCATTGAGTCAGGTGGAATAATTTGGTTTGCCTGCCTAACCACTGTGTTCTTTGGTTTCCTCCAACTGCTAAAGACCCCTAGACACAAGCAAATGATTGAAATAAACTTGTACCATATGTTAGTCCCAAAATTACCTAGTTTATGTCAAGTGGATGATTAACTCCGTTTCTCTCCCTCTCTTTATCAAGAGGGCCTTTAGTCTTGGTTTCATGTATCAAATCGTTAAGTATGAAATGAAATGGAGTTTCTTCTACTTCTCTTCACCAACCAGGCTAATGAAGACAGGGCATACACCATGCAGGGACAGAGGGCCTGACAAGGACTGCTGTCTAGTCGTTCGGATGGGATTCAAAACCGAGGTCCCATGTACATGTTGGCGTTCACATAAAAGATCCCTTGACAGTTTAAATTCGATATAAGAGTAGGCCATGTTGCAGCTGTCCAAGCTAAATTTTCACTTCATAGCGTATGCCTGTCTTCATTAGCCCAGTTCGGAGCAGAACAGTAGGACGTTAAACCCCAATTCATTTCATTTCATTTCACACCATGTAGTGTGATATGAGAGAAATATTATCTGTTAGTTTTTTTAGTACAAAGTCAATCTGATGACTACTATTATATAAACTGTACATCACCATCATTAACATTCATCAACCATCTTTGTTTTTGTCGACAGAAATATGCCTGATATTGACACATTAATGCAGGAATGGCCACCAGAATTTGAAGATTTACTGAAAGAGGTAATAAATTAGATAAAAACAAATTTGAACTGAATATGATTAAATTATTGTGATGAGTTTATACAAAAATATACAAATGTAAAGATGTTTTATCAGAGTGGAATATATGCTTTTATATTCTTCCTTTTAGTCAAGGCTTGTAATTGTTTGAATTCAGAACTTGATTCAGATTGAGTTCAGGCATTAATTTACTGAACGAGACAAATTTAAGTTTAATTTTCAATGTTGTTAACCTATTTTGATTGTTGTTTTTTTTTTTATATTTTAGATTGGCTTACCATCTGCTGAGCTGGATTGTGATCTTGGGCAATATGTAGAAATAATTTGTGGTTAGTTTTTTTTTTTATAATTATTTATTTTTTCTTGGTAGCTCACATTTTAATTATTGGATTATAACTCTGTTCAATTGTTCTCGAACTGTGACAACTAGATATTCTCTATATCTAGATTATTATGAAGCCAGGATATAAGGCACTTGTCACAACAGTGCTGGATTAACCAATATTGGTGTCAGTAATTGACTGTCACTAGATAAGAGAAAAATAGAAAAAGTCCGTGCATTGGCATGTTTTTATGAGGTATAGAATGAATAAAAACAGGGAATGTATGGACTATTTCTATTTTTCTTGTTTTTCCCTTATCTAGTGACATTCAATTACTTTTTTGAATTATCAGATATCCATCCTCTCGCTGTCTCACCTAAGTACTTTTGGTCTTCAAAGGAATAATTAGTCAGCAGAAGTTCCCCTGTGTATCTGTTATCACTTGTCACTTCAGTCAATTATATAGAAGGACAACTCATGTTTTTCTTTTGCGTTCGTCACTTCCCTTTCTTGAAATTTTCATTACGCATCTATCGTAGCTATGATCTCTGTGTTAATATTTATATTTGGAATGTGTTTAACCAGTTCTATAACATATGTGATAATGACCGACAGAGCTTAATTTTGGCATGTTATATTGTGATTATATGTTTGAAGGAAATTCTGATTACTGGTTTATGTTTTTTATTTATTTTTTTACAGGTCTCTTAGATATTCCCATCTATAAAAACTCACCTCAGAGAAATGAGAAAATTCAAGCTCTGCATGTTTTATTCACTCTGTATTCTGAATTTAGAAATTCTCAAGTAAGTTGTTTTTACATATATTATTGACCCCCGTCTAAAATGAGTTAGTCTATTGGTCTATCATACTGTTTAGAACACTATAGGTCTATTCCTAAATAAATTTAAATGTTCAAACCTGGTGTAGATATTTGTTAGGAGAATGTCTTGACTGAGTTCAGGGATCTTTTTCCACTTTGGTTAAACAGAAATAAGCAATTTGATTGACGATGATTTGGGATAGGATAACTCTTGATTGTAATTGAGGGAGTGTTTTGAAACTTGGTGTATAATTTCATTATATCAATACCTTGACTATGTTCAATAATGAGCATTTTCTAAAGGGTGTTATTCAAGATTATTACAGCTCCAGAACTATATTATAAGACAAAAGGGGGGTTGGATGGCCGAATGGCTGTATCAAAAGGCCTGTCATTGAGTCAACTGGTGTGGTTTCAAATCCCCTGTTGTACATGACAAGGAGTAGGGTCGCCTGTCCAACCTCATGGGTTTTCTCACGGTCCTCCGGTTTCCTCCCACTGCTAAAGACCCCTACGCACAAGCGAATTATTGAAATAAAATGTTAAAAAAAACATGTTAGTCCCGAAATGACCTGGTTTGTGTTGTGTGGAGGTTAATCCCCATTTCTCTCTCTCTATAAGACAAAAGGTTTTCACTCTGTCTTCTATTTATAAATCCTGACTTCAAAACGGATGTCCTGGGCCTTGTTCCAATGTAAAGAAAAATGATTTTCTTTACTGTTATTATAAAACTTAAATTAAATTTACCAATATCTTTAGAATATTTGTAATAATTTCATCCTATATTTTCCTTTCAGCATTTCCAAGCTTTAGCTGAAGATAATAAATTAGACAATGATTTAAAAAATGATGATTATGGTGGAGGAGGTATGGGGGATGAGGATCGACTTGTTTTATAGTTTCAGTATAGACTGTACATAATGATAAATGAATATACTGTAAAAAAAGGAAATAAAAGATGCATTATGTAAGAGCTAAATCTGTCTATTGCAGGTCTTTATTTTGGCTTCAAATGTTATATAAACTATTATTTAAACATTCATTCACATGACAAGCCCATAATCAACCCTCTAGACCATCAGATGGCTGAGATTTACATGGATTAGAATGAGATTTTAAAATTAAATGATAAAATGTATAAATGAGACTTAAATCTCACTTGGCCAGGACATTTGCTAGGATAATAAACAATATACGCTACATCTGAAAGAAATTTTCAATATACTAATTCTTCATTATCTGTTTTTGAAATATTATAGCAAGAAAAGTCCGCTCTTTATCTAAATCTTACATAATGCATCTTTAAGGAAGTATGCTACTGTGGGATTCAAAAAGAAATCTGAAGCTGTAGCTCTGATACTTTATAGAATAATACTGTAATATTTTTTATCTTTAAATAACTTGCTGTACCTTATTTTCTTTGTTTATGAAAATCTACCAAATATTATAAAGCTATTGAAAATTACCGCATCAATCAAAGCAGAAATCCATATCAACCAGAAATGAGGAAGAAGATATTGTGAAAATTGATAAAAATGTTTCTTTAATGTGCATTTATCCAGAGCTGTTCACATTTTTCAATCTATCCAGTTTTCAATCAATCCGTCCAACTCCAACCATTGATTATTATCATATTCATTCATATTCTCTTTACATTGGTTAGTTTGTATGTAAATTTTTATGTATTTTATCAAAAAAAGTGAAACCTACATTGTTATTATATCGTTATCTTGTTTGAAGAAATAAACTCCATACATATTTCTATGTTGAAATCACTACATATCTTATGTATATTTGTGTTTTATTCTAACACATTAAAATTATAAAAATGAGTTAATTGGTATTCTTTGTGTGAGTTTTTGTTTCAATCATTAAATTATAACAGACACCTGTCTTCATTAACCTGGGGAGCCATGGTGGCTCAATGAGTAAGACATTAGCTAGCTAATCTGGTGGTGGTCTCGTGTTCAAAACCCCAGCGTTGGCCTAGAAAGTTCATCAGTTTTTTCGTGAAGGGCTTGATAAGATATACGTAGTTAAAGTGAGATCAAGCATTCCATTGAAGATGGTGCCCAGGGAGATATAGGTAGACAACTCTTGTTACTGTACCCATTTAACCCCCAAACAAATCCAGACCACTGGGTCAATCATACACCCACACTTAAAGGGCGCAGGGCCTAACGAATTAAGAAACCACTTGGTATAAATATACTTAAGAATGGAATGGAGCTTAATGTCTCATCAGCACAATTAATTTGGTCATTTCGTGATTGACAGTTATTTGGTCTCATGTGCAATCCTAGAGAAGTGAATTGCATCTGGCATGCGTTTTGTTATGTGCACCCGCCTATTCTTCATCGTATTCCAACCTCCCCCCCCCCCCCCCCCCCCGCTCTGCACAACTGATAAGAAGAAATCAAGGTGGAGAATCCTTAGCAATGTTCTCGGGTCGATGTCGTGATCGAACCTGTAACGTCCTAGTTACTGAGCCACCCTGCCTACCAATAACCACATAATTCATTTCAACTTTTATTCTAAAGATTCCATAAATAATTCTATCTGGAAATTTTCTGGATTGTACATCTATTTTTGAAAACAAAACGTGCAGCTTTATTTTTATTTCTTTATATTACAGGCAAAAAAAATATCTATAGCAAAAAGGTTAGACAAAAATCATATATTAAAGCCGCCGTTTGTCATTTGCATCTAATTATCTAATTTATCCCGCGAAAATTTAATATAATAATTATAACAAATAAAAAAGTGAAATAAATAGAAAATACAAAATAAAAAAGAATCAAAATAGCCAAATAAATAAATACGTATAATATTAGAATACTTAATACTATACAACCAAAGAAAATACATACATGTAAGTATAATATTAGAATACTTAAATACATAGAACTAAATAGATACTACATGTATAGTATAAAAACCATGTTTGGATTGATATTCCTATTAGAGTTTTATCTTTCACAATATTGTAGTTTGCAAGTGATTTATATAGGGCTTATATAATGGTGCATCAGGACTAACTAATATCAGCTCTTAGATACAAACATTTACATTCTCAATTTCTCATTATAAGATACTTGCCTAGGACAGGAAATGTCGCAAGTTTAACGTTCTAGTGTTCTTCACCGACCGAGATAATCAAGCAGGTCATAGGAAAGGAAAGGCAATGGAGTTCAACGTCCCGTCAACAAAGTACATATCGATTATTTTGGGACTAATATACAGTCATGTATGCAGTGTCATGGAGGGAAATTTTGTCCAGGCAGTGGTGTTTAGGAGATGCTAATTTTAGGCCGGTTGGGCCGGGAGGTTCAACGATTTCCGACGTCCACAATGGCCGTTTATATAAATGAGTATTTGGGGGAGTACTAACCCTTACCCTCACCCTAACCCCTAATTAGAAGTTTGATAGACTTTAAAATAAAACAAGTTTCAAGTTTAATTACACAACCAACATTATAAAACAATAAACTGGATTTATAAACAAATAAATATCTAGTTATAATATTAAAGATGCATTATGTTAGAGCTAAATCTGTCCATTGCATTAGCTTAAAATGTTATAGAAACTATTATTTAGACATCTATTCACATAATCAACTCTCTAGATCATCGGATGACCTAGATTCAGTTGGTTTAGTACACATGCAAGGTTTAAAAATTTATCGATAAAATGAATAATCGAGAGTTTGAGACTTAGACTCGATTGTTAAGTACCGTTGCTACGATAATGAACAATCTACGCTATATCTCTCAAATGTTAAAACATTCATAACTCCGCTCAGAATAATGTAATTTGAATGAATTTTCAATATAATCATTTTTCATAATCTATTTTTGAACTAGTACAGCAAGAACGGCCAATTCTTCATCTAAATCTTACATAATGCATCTTTGACTTTAAACAAAATAAATATCCACTAAAGTAGGCAAACATATTAATGTGCAGATGAACCTTCCATTGAGTTGAAATGTAAACAAATCGACCCACTTGTTGCATCCTTGCTCTTTTTTAACACGTTTCATACACACCCGTCTAATAATTATATATTGAAGATTATAAGTGTTAAATATAATTAAAATATAAGTTAACATAAAAGATATGTTTTTAAAGTTGATAACGAGTCTATTTTGTGATTTTGAAGTCGACCGAAGGTATGACGTAGGTTGACATGGTAAACAGATCCCAGAATACCTTGTATTGGTCACTGAAATAAAAACAAAATAAACGTTTTATTTCTCAATTGATATCTAAACAACCCTCTAACGCATCATTTTGTTCATGAAACTGTTCTGCTCGGACTGGGTTAATGAAGACGGTCATACGCCATGAAGAGTGCTACGAGGGACATTTTGCCCAGGCAGTGGCACCATGGCCTACTCTTACATCGAATTCCAACTGACAAGGGATATTTTACGTACACGCCAATATGTACACGGGGCCTTGGTTTTTCGTTCCATCCCAACGACTAGACAACTGTCCTTGTCAGGCCCTTCGTCCTGCACCACTGAAAGGGGAAACCACGTCGGAAAATCCCGATACAATGCAAGGATCGAACACGCGACCTCCAGGCTAGTGAGCTAGCGTCTCACCCACTTAGAAACCGTGGCTCACATGAAGTTTAACGTCCCACTTTTCTGCACTGACCCGGATAATGAAGACGAGCATACTCCATACTTATGCCATGCAGTTCGCTGTGAGACAAATCGTGCCCAGACAGCGATATTTCCGCCTACTATTCTTCGAATTTCAACTGCCAAATAAACTTTTACCAGGCCTCAGTTTTTTGTCCCATCCGAACTAATTGTCTCATTTCCTTGCCAGACTCGCTGCCCTAGACCAGAGAGATATAATCATATCCAAATGTCCCACTCATAGAAATGGTGCAAGGCGCGTATAAGAACCTACCCAACAGTAGACGAGTGATAATCATATCCAAACGTTACATTCCTATAGAAATGGTGCAAGGTGCGTATAAGAACCTACCCATCAGTAGACGAGTGATAATCATATCCAGACGTTAAATTCCTACAGAAATGGTGTAAGGTGCGTATAAGAACCTACCTAACTGTAGACGAGAGATAATCATATCCAGACGTTAAATTCCTATAGAAATGGTGCAAGATGCGTATAAGAACCTACCTAACTGTAGACGAGAGATAATCATATCCAGACGTTCCACCAGTACCAGGTTTACTTCCAATCATTCTGTGAACCATATTAACATGGCGTCCTGTAAAATATTTAAAAATAAAAATTCACAGAAGAGTTGCACGAGTAGATAATAATGACAAAACGTTGACAAGATATTAGAGATCTGAGATTGCATAAAGGAAAACTAACAATATAATATCAGGGCAGGGTTGAGGTTTTGTTGACCCTGGGCCAAAATATTTCATGGGGCCTATTACACAGATATCCATCCATCCATCCATCCATCAAATACAAAATATCAAAATCAGAGATACTGTGTACCGTAAATTCTACTTAATAAATGAAACACAGCATAGTACTGACCTGTTTAAAGATACATTATTGGAGATTCGATAACGAGTTGGCAGTTCTCACTATAATAGTTAAAAAGGCAATTTGCTGAAAATTTCATTCAAATTGATCCACTATGAGCCGAGAACAACGCGATTGAATTTCCGCCTAGCCTTGATCATCATTTATGATTACTAAAGTCAGTACGATAAACATCATAGTCTCGATTATCCATTTAATCGTTAAATCGTGAAGGAAAGTTATGCAGTAAATCGGCTCACAATCAACTAACGATCGAGGCTAGCGATGCCATCTAGAGTTGATTATGGTCTGGATAGCTTAATTAATGTCTTATTAATAATTTAGATAACATTTCAGGCCTAAAGAAAGACCTGCAATAGACAGATTTAGCTCTTGCTTAATGTATGTTTAATCTTCCATACTATACTATAAAAGTTTCACTTTATTTACCCGGAAAACCCATAAAATAAGTAATTTAGACTTGTCTCTGATATAAGTAAAATCGGATATACATGTAAGCAATTTCAAGCTGTCGCCTCACCCGTTGATTATATCAGGGCTCACTGTACCAGTAGGATTTATTGAACCAAGTGAGAGCTTAGGGAAATACAGACAATGATTACGCAAGGAACCTTAAAAGGGTGAGGCCCTAGGCCATGGCCTAGTTGACCCGTGCCTTAATCCGACCCTGTGTACTATAACCTTTATGTTTAGAGACTGGCACGCACTGGAGTCTGAATACCCGAATCGTGCAAACTTCAATATTGTGAAAGTTTAATCTCTAAAAGGAGAGGAGAGAGAGAGAGAGAGAGAGAGAGAGAGAGAGAAATGGGGTTTAACGCCCACTCGACACAAACTAGTTCATTTCGGGACTAACATATGGTTTAATTTTATTTCAATAATTCGCTTGCGCGTAGGGGTCTTTAGCAGTGGGAGGAAACCGGAGAACCCGGAGAAAACCCACGAGGTATCTCTAAAAGGAATATCATTTCAAAAGGTTTTAATTCCTTTCATTATTTACGATATCATGAACATTTCTCAATATTCGGCATCCTCTACAGACAATATAAACAAGTTAGCGCCACATATATTGGCTGAGGGTTGGGTGAAATATTTTATGATGAGCCTCATTTGAATCAAACGAATAATTAATTTGAGTACTTTATTTCATATACAGTAGATTATGTCATGAAAATGAATCAGATATTGTACGAAATATGCAATGATACGACGGCCCGTTAGTGCTAAACAAAACGAAAATCTTAATCTTTTGAACAAGTTAATATCTCGTTTGAACGAGTTAGTATGTCGTTTGAAGGAGTTAGGAACGAGTAAGTATCTCGTTTGAAGGAGTTGGTATCTCGTTTGAACGAATTAATTATCTCGTTTTAACGAAATCTTAACTCGCTCAAACGACATACATTTTCTTTTTGTTTATCACCAATATGCTTTCGTACAATGGCGATCAACAGCTTAAAGTATTTACCTCGCCACGTCATAATGGCCTCATCAACATCTAGTATAAGAGTTATAATCTGATATGGTATTTGATATTCTGGTTCGGCCTGGAGTTGGTGAACCAGTAAAGCACCAAGAAAACCATCATATGTAAAATAATTCCTGAAAGTATGAGGATCTGAAAGAGGAAATAAATATGTTAAGAGAGCAGGAAACACGCCCTTTCATTCTAATTAAAACAATTCATTTAATTCATACAGATGCTGTCCGTAAGCAATATCAGTACAGCGACAATCTATTACTGTACCAAACAGTTCAATCCTGTTATCTCGAACTCGACTGTTCATACATTAAATGCTCGAAATAATAGATGTTCAAACCACCCGTATCTATTGTTTTGAAAACACAACTATAATTACTTCATTTGTAAGACTCGAAAAGAATAACGCCCTTTCCTTTTAATTAAAACAATTCAATTAATTTATACAGATGCCGTAATTCAGAAACTTCAGTACAGCAACAATATATTACTGCATCTAACAGTTCAATCCTGTTATCTCAAACTCGGCTGTTCATACATAATATACTCGAAATAATTGATGTTCGAGCCAACCGCATCTATAATTACTTCATTTGGTTTAAATGTAAGACTCGACAAGGTAAACGTATTGCTACGCCTTTTCAAATATAAACGTATCTATTTACACAACCATTCATTTGGTGTTTTGAGTGGTGTTTTATATAGGCGAAGTTTGTTTTCCAATCACATTCGGACATCCTTAATAAAATATTTTCTATAAAGAACCTATCTATAATAGGTGTTGTGTGCAAGGTATGAAATGTCTAATTTCATTGAACAGATGGAACTTACTTTTGCCGTCTCTCTTACGTAATTCATTAAACAGATTCTCGTCATAAACACATCGAAGGTGTTCCTGAAAAAAAGAAACAAACGAATGCTAAATGAGTGATTGAAACCAACAATACTTGATTTATTAGTGATCTGTACAACTTTTAAAAACTCACATAATAAATAGTACAATATGTAATTTGTGAAATCCTTATATATCATGTAATTTGTGGTAGTTACGACTGGTTTTCCTGGTGTAAGTTTAAGAATAATTTGATTGAACCCACTGAACATATTTTTAAACCTACACAAACTGAAAAAGACTTGAAAACTTGTGAGGAGCTACCTAAGTTTGTGAATAATCTTTGTGACGTTTTGCCAGTATGCAGCTCGAGTCGCGCGCTAATGGGTCCCTGTCAAATCCGAGACTTAGTCAAATGGCGACATCGATTCCTACATATTGGCGAGAATTAAGTTATACTCCTCCAAATTACAAAATAAAATACAATTTACCGTATTACTGCCAGCTTTCTGCATATCACTGACACTTTTTTGATAACTGTTGATAAATTTCTGTTTTCCAAACTTTTCAAGTATACTGGCAAGCCACGTCTGTAAAATAATTAGTGAATAAGTTCAAAGTTATTAGATTTTCATTTCGTTGCCATAGGTCTATACTAAATATACAGTAATAACCTCGTCCTTTCCATCATTCGTTCGTGGGGCTAAACGTCCATTTCCATCTACGGTGATATCGCAGACAAGAAAACTACTTGAAAACGAAATGAAATGGAGTTTAACGTCCTACTTTTCTGCACCGACTAGGTTAATGAAGACGGGCATACGTCATGCAATGTGCTACGAGAGACATTTTTGCCCGACGGCGACGCCCGGGCCTACTCTTACGTCGAATTCAAACTGTCAAGAGTTATTGTACGTGCACGCGAATGTGTGCAGGGGACCTCGGGTTTTCCTATCATCCGAACGACTATACGCTGTCCCTTGCCAGGCATAGGGGAATCTTGCCGTAAAACAATGAAGCCGAAGGATAAATCATCCACCTACAGTTAAAAAAAACTGAGGACAACAAGACAAGAAACCAGTTGGCAATTACATACGTAATCAATGCGATTTCACTTAGTACCATACACAAAGAACCAAACCAAACCGGATTTGAAAGCAGACGTTAATACATGTATATATAAACATCCAGGTATTTTATAGATATTCTGTAAATGGTATTTACCTGGGTCAGTTCAAATATATTTTGTTCCCGGAAGGCTTCGTTGACTCTTTCAATCTGAAAAAAAAGACTGAATTGAATGGAATTTGAATGGAATTTGAATGGAGATTGAATTGAAGTGAAGTGAACTGAAGTGAACTGAAATGAAATGAATGGACTGGAATCGAGTGGAATTGAATGGACTGGAACCGAATGGAGTGAAGTGGAATGGAATGAAAGGGAAATATACATTCAATTAAGATATTAAGTACCTGTTCAGGTTTCATCTTTTCTTTATAATTAAACTGTGTTTGGCCCTTTCGGTTTTCCTGAAAAATAAAATCTAATAAAATAAGAAACAAGGAAGCATTCTATGGACTCGTATGTAAACTTTAACGGTACTCTAAAAATACAACAAATTATGAGGTCGCGGAGAGAGAGAGAGAGAGAGAGAGAGGAGAGAGGAGGGGGGGGTAACGTGCACTCAACACAAACTAGGTCATTTTGGGACTAACATATGGTTTATTTTTTTATTTCAATAATGCGCTTGCGCGTGAGGGTCTTTAGCAGTGGGAGGAAACCGGAGGACCCGGACAAAATCCACGAAGTTCAACAGGCGATCCTACTCCTTGTCACGTACAACTGGGGATTCGAAACCACGTCAGTTGACTCAATGACAGGCCTTATGATACACCGCTCACGTGCTAACCATTCGACCATCCAACCCCCCGAGGTCGATGGAACAAACCCGCAGTCCTTGTTTGAGGTTAAACTATGCGGCATCATGGCCATCTAAAAACTAATGGAATCCTACACACCCCAACATTTTTTAAATACAAAATTCCTAAAACAGATGGCTACCAAATTACGTTTGTTTACAGTAAGTAGACTAACGTTAAAACATACGGAGCCGCGGTGGCTAAGTGAGTAAGACGCTGGCTCGCTCACCTGAAGGTTGCGGGTTCGATCCCTGCGTTGGCCGAGAAGGATCATCGGGATTTTCCGGCATGGTTTCCCTTGTCAGCGGTGCTAATATCTTCGCTCGCAATAGTGTAATTTGAATGAAATTTTCAAATTATTCATTTTACATTATCTATTTTCGAACTATTATAGCAAGAATGGCTACCTCTTCATCTAAATCTTACATAATGAATCTTTAATGGTTGAGATTTATGGTTAGCATACACTTATCCCCAATTTAAAAAAAACCCAACAAAACCCCCCCAAAAAAACCCAACATCTTACCTCCTTCAAACCAAAAATATTTTCAATCAATCGGAATTGGAGACTCTGGAATCCAGAACCGCCGGTCAACTTACCACTTAAAGAAATGACAATAAACGTAATATTAATATCAACCGTTGAATATTACACGTCACTTGCAAATAGCAGTGAACCTCAAACAAGTGTTTAAAAGAAAGCAATAAGGTAAAAACTTCTACGCCCTGCTCAGCTACATAAATAATAATTGTAAAATAACACTTTATCATGAGAAAAGTGTCACGGTCGCGTGCTTTATCCTTTATCATCAGATGGTGAGAGAGAGAGAGAAATGGGGTTTAACGTCCACTCGACACAAACTAGGTCATTTCGGGACTAACATATGGTTTAATTTTATTTCAATAATTCGCTTGCGCGTAGGGGTCTTTAGCAGTGGGAGGAAACAGGAGGACCCGGAAAAAAACCCACGAGGTTGGACAGGCGACCCTACTCCTTGCCACGTACAACCGGGGATTCGAAACCACACCAGTTAACTCAATGACAGGCTTTATGATACAGCGCGCGCACGCTAACCATTCAGCCATCCAACCCCCCTCATCAGATGGTGGGATCAGATAGACATTTAAAGCGCGAGGTAATGATATAGTCACATGTGATATCACATTTATTGCTTTGCATCAACAGATTTTCCGGCGTGGTTCCCCCTTGTCAGTGATGCAGGACGGAGGGCCTGACAAGGACAGCTGTCTAATCCTTCGGATGAGACGAAAAACCGAGGTCCCGTGTATATATTGGAATGCACGTAAAAGATCCCTTGGCAGTTGGAATTCGATATAAGAGTAGGCGATAGTGAGCTGCCCGGGCAAAATGTCCCATATAGCACACTGTATGGCGTATGCCCGTCTTCATTAGCACAGTATAGGAGCAGAACAGTAGGACGTTAAACCCCATTTCATTTAATGCTTTGCATCAATGAAATTGAATCACAATGTGATGCTATTAATTCATAATAAAAATTGTGTTGGATTTCTCTCTTTAAAAAGCTCAGTGTATATTTATGCCTACGTAATTTGGAAACGGTGATGGTATTATGCATTGTCAAATGTCAAATTTCCTTAACAGCAGTGGTTCTAAACCTTTTTTTGCCAGCAGCACACCTTGGAACACATGAAAAAATAGCGGCACACCTGGCTAAATATATATGACATATATTTGAATTTTTCAAAATAAACGTCATAGACGGCATACAACCGTAGACACTGACTAGTCTTAGTGTGCTGTTTAAAATTTCACGGCACACTTAAGAAGATCTCACGGCATACCTGTGTGCCGCGGCACACTGGTTGATAATCACTGCTTAACAGGAACCTGGCAAACCTCCTCCTGCAAAAATTTCGGGACGCGCCCCTGATTTTGGTTTTTCAATCAAATAATAAATAATCAATGTGAGTACATTATAGTCTGGATTAAACCGCGCAAAATACGGGGTTAGGGTGGACTAGTGGTCTAGAGTGTCGCGCTTAGACCTCTAGTTGGGCGGTCACCTCTGGCTCGCGGTTGTGATCTCGATCCCTGTATGTGACTTTAAGATCGGGGCGCCTTCTCAACCGCGTGGGTTTACTCCAGGTACTCCGGTTTCCTCCCACAGGAAAGACAATTTATCTGCGATATCACCTTCGGTGGATGTGGACGTTAAACACTAAGAAGAAGCCGTGTAAAATGAGATAATGACAATCGTCGACAAAAGAAGATTTCCATTTATAACTCGGATGGAAACCTGTCCTGTTTTGCCCAGCTTTAAAGGCTTTATTCAAATATCTATCTCTTGTTGCCATTGTTTGAAAGAAGAAAAATTATCGATAGCGCTGAACATCCAGTGATTCAATCTATTTATAGTTTTATAATAATTTACCGGAAGTTCATAAAAGCCAGTTGACCCATTGACTCCATAATTTGAAAGTTGCCCAACAGCATCTGCAATAAAGAAACAGAATCATACATTTACATACATCAATAGAAATGAAAAAGGGGTTTAACGTCCCCATACATCAATAAGGGAACACATTCACTTGATGGTTCTTGCCGTACCCATGGGAGGAAATACCTAATATAAAATACCCTGTAGCAACCTCAATATATCATTTCCCCCACCTTTGGGTTGTCAATATTTTAAATAGACACGCCCTTTAACCGACATATTAAACAATCTAAATGGTACTGTTTTGGTGGTACAGTGAAATGTTTACTAGTAGTCTACTTGAAACTTGTGCATCTTCAACTGTCAATGCTCAGTCTAGAACAAGCTTTGATGCATGACATGGCCATACGTTGCTGAGAGCCCCCCCCCCCCCCCCAATTAAAATTCGGCATAGAGTGTAAGCAGGGCAGAGAGATAATGAATAATATTATAGTCAACAGGAAAATAAATGGTGGTCTGCATTCTATATAGGTAAGGTCAAATTACCCCCCTTTGCCTATGATACAATCAAAAGCCAAACTTTTTCTACCAAAGAGAGTAACGATGTATTGTTTCTGTAATTGCATACACCACCCCAGCGGTACGCATTCAAAGCTCGAAACCGACGCGGTTTCACAACAGTCAGATGCGCAAGGAGCCGAGCCAAACCATGACCTAGCCAAATATGAAACCGCTACTCAGCGGTTAACGCGGAAGGTAATATGACGTCATTCTCATTGTATGCATTTTTAATAAAGTAAAACCATTTATAATTATAGTTTATTGCTGCATTGTACTGACTCACATTCTTGTATTACATGTATTAGCTTTAAGGTTACGTTAACAATTGCAGATTCTCCGAGAAAATAGAAGTCGGTCAGGCACACATAATGTAGTCTTTATTTCTTTAACGTCGTTCAGTTATTTTCAGACAAGAAAAGTTAAATGAAAGTCAATATATAGGATTGAATAAAACGTTGATTTTTGGAGAATTTATTGATGTTCAGTCCATTTAGAAAGATATTTTATCGAGTGGAAATCGATTATTTTTCGTAGAAAATGTTCAAGGTATACGTAAGTAAACTCCAGATAGTTAATTTCCATGTAATAATGTGATTCGAATTTATCAAGTATTAAGCTATTCAGTTTAAAGATACGGATTATTTTCGGTATTCGGTGATAAAGTTTCGAAATATTTTCGATTTGTTTCAGGGGAGTGTCCAGGAATTTAAGCAGCGGGGGGTTCAAGGTGGTGACAAGGTCGGGGGGAACTAACCGGGAATTTGATAAGACAATATTTCTGCTCATTTACGTGCATACATGTATAGAGTTACAGTGGAGTGGTGAGCCGATGTTATTTCCACGAACGTAGGAGAGAACAAATATTCTCTGTGACACCCCCCACCCTACCCCTCCCCACCCTCAGTCTCAGAGTAAATCTGGACTCATCTCAGAACATTACACGTGCTCATCGACGATTACCCCAATTTCTACGCTGCCTACACCATTGACGCCTGTTTGCCATTTGCTGGCGAGTTAATGGAATCGCAACACGCGGTCGTCGCGTCTGCTAATGGGCTGCATGTAGCCGATTTCTAATCGTTTGGGGTGTAACTCGAATTCCTGTAACTTGGTGCAAGTTTACAGAAAGCTGATTGGCCGTTAAAGTTTGTCCTCGATTTCGCGGGACCTGCGTACGAATGTATTGATCCTAGGCTTGTGTAGTGGCTCTAGGACGACATGAACGAGGTCTATCATCAACATTGTGTGTTTGTTGGTACCGGTTCCACAGTCTGCTGATCACAAACTGTGACACATTAAGCATGTTGGCTACTGCTCGCTGTGTAGAACCCATTTGAAGCATGCCAATAGCACGTAGACGTTCATCGTGTTGAAGACGTCTCATTGCAAATTAAACGTAACACACTGAAGCAAAGATACGCTAAACAGTAAATCTTATGCAAGAACCGATAGGAAAGCAAACATGGATAGGATAAACCAGCACGCGGCAGTTTTCATCAACCCTTCCTTGAAGTGTCAAATTTGACAATGAACCCCTACCACGTGTATGGCGCTATTGCGTGTCGCAAGTGCAGCTCGGTGAACATACCCTCAAATCATGTCAAGTGTTAATGACTATTTATCATATCACAACCTGCATAGGTATTTGAATTTCAATACCCCCTACTTTTTTTGAAGAATATAGAATTCTTTAAAGACTATACAATTACTTTCAGATCACAAAGTCAAGTATATGTATAGGATTGAATAAAAATACATTTTTGGAGAATTGGAGAAACTTTTAAAGACTTTTTTCTCACACTACGTTCATTTCATGTAGAGACATGTGTTTATACAGTCTGCACATAGCAAACAATTTTACTTTCAGAATAAAAATACATTTTTGGAGAAATGTTTTAAGGCTTTTAAAGCACAATAGGTTCATTTCATTTAAAGGGATATATGTTTATACATACTGCACATAGAAAACAATTTTACTTCGAGAATAGATCTCTTGCCTAAAATGGCCGCCATATTCCAAAATTACTAAATGATTTTGTAATTTGGTTCTTATATATATAGAGAGAAATGGGGTTTAACGTCCACTCGACACAAACTAGGTCATTTAAGGACTAACATATGGTTTAATTTTATTTCAATAATTCGCTTGCGCGTAGGGGTCTTTAGCAGTGGGGGGAAACCGGAGGACCCGGAGAAAACCCACGAGGTTGGACAGGCGACTCTACTCCTTGTCACGTACAACCGGGGATTCGAAAACACGCCAGTTGAATCAATGACAACACCCGCCACTCCCCCCCCCCGGTTCTTATATATTCTACGTGTGGATAAAACCTATCAGAGTTTTACAACATTCTTGCGAAATTTCTAGAAAGAGAAATTAAAAGTAGAATCCAAAACATATAAAATATGTGCAATAAAAGAACGTACCCTTAACAGATCGCGACATCTCATTATAAGTGTTGGCATTTCACCTAAAGCTTTCTTTTCCATAACACTACCTGGATTCTAGAAAATAAAAAACAACTTATATTCATATCAACTAATAATTCAACACAATATATTTTGACAAATAGAAATCGTTTTAAATGAAAATGAATCGATTAGATTTACTTTCGGAATCTTATTTTTCTTTCTTTAATTCCTCGCAAACAACAATATTGTCAAAGGTGAATTTCAAAGGAATATCCGTCCACATATTGTTCATTTCGATTCAATGTTTACAGCTAGACAATATAAAGGGTACCGCCTATGAATTTCGCTCAAATCTTTTGATGGCCATCTACAGTTAAACGTGGCGGTAAATAAATACATATTTTTGAACCGTTTGAACGCTTTAAAAAAACAACTTACATTTATAGACAGTTCAAAATTTTTCTTGATCCGACCAAAATCAAATAGAATCTGTTTGAACCAAATTTCGAATCCTGAAAAAAAAAAAAAAAAAAAATTTTTAGATAAAACAGGGTGCTATGTATTATTTTGTATAAATTCCAGCTGGAAAAAAATAAAAATGCACCGAATCGTGAATTAACCACACTTCAAAGTAACCTTTATTTTCTTGTCATTGATTATGTCAGGCGTCTTTTGATTTCGTTTCTTTCCATTTAATCATTCTGTGATCACATTCTATTGAATATTAAAAAATAAATTAACTACCCCCCCACCCCCAACAGAAAAATAAAAATGAAAACGTATGCCTCACTACTGAATTACTTGAAAGTTTTTGAAACACCATCTACACAGATCTAACATCATCCATCTTTAAACTGGTAGCTCGTCGTAAATAAGCCCAGGGAAAGTTTAAATACGTGCGAAGGCTTTTGTTTTTAAATTCCAACCTATTCCTTTGTTTTTCTCTCAGTTATAATTAATTTGTCAGAAAATTATTGTTTGGTTTTTTTTGCTCATTTGGATATTCAGTTTTCGTCTGATCTTATTTATTTATTTATTTAATTTTCCAATAGACATATCAAACATGACAAAAGAGGTGACAATATAAAGTTACATAATAATAATAAGATGAGAAAGTTTTTGATGAGAGAAAAAATAATGATGTCGTGAATGATCAACCTCTTGAGGTTAACCCATAAAAACCTGCTTAAATTAAAACTAGGTTTATTTAAAAGAAAAATACAAACAAATAATGGTGTCCTTTTCAGAATAGTTCCTCAAGGAATACATACCATGGTGCACGGTAATAAACAGGTGTTCTTCTGGTTCTGATGATAGTTGTCCAACACAATCTAATAATCCAGTCACCTTAGGCCCCACATAGCCCTCACCTAACTATAAAAATATAACAACCAACAACTGATATAAATATTTGAAATATGTAAATATCTCCACCACAGAAAAAAAATCATTACCAGAATTTAAAATGATATCCAATTGCAACTGTGAAACAGCATCCAGGAACCCACGGGAAACTCCCTTACATTCATAGATTTCACAATGTATCTGTTGATACAAGTGAGTTTAATATACAATTCAAATGCCGTTTTTTACCTTGTATTAATGAATTGAGCTCTAAATACAAAGCGTTCTAACTTGGTTGTCATAATTAAGCATTTGGGTTACGTAAACTAAGTACTTTTAGTCCAGTGTTTACCGGATATGGCCAAAACAAGCCAGCGCCACCTACAATCTTCAATAAAATCTTTGAATGTACCACTTTTTAATCCTTTTGTAAAGAGAGAAAGACAAATGGGGTTTAATGTCAACTCGACACAAACTGGGCCATTTCGGGACTTACATATTGTTCAATTTTAATTCAGTAATTCGCTGAGGTAAACGGAGGACCCGGGGTAAACCCACAAGGTTGGACAGGCGACCCTACTCCTTGCCACGTAGAAGCGGGGAACCAAAACTACGCCACGTGACTCAATGACAGACCTTCTGATCCAACGTACACGCGTTAACCATTCGGCCACCCAACCACCTGATTTTGTAAACGTTAAATAATTAATCTGAATACATATTAGCGTGTTTAACCTAAAAAAAAATGAAATATTGCCCGAAAAATTCAAATAACTAGCAACGACATTAATTAAGAGTGGTAATTAAATATGGAAACCTATACAGTTAATTTAAGAGCGCGTCCGTGAGAGGACCATGTAAAAATTGAAAAAAAAAACCAAAACAAAAAACGATAACCCTGGTGTATGGTGACCCCTCGGTGACAGAAGGCACAGGATGTAGTGAAAATATTTGTGAAATGACAACTTCCGGTTTAACATATTTCGGCCAATTTTTTACTCTAATTTCGAAACGATCGGACTCGAAATGTTGTGGCTCTAATTTTTAATATTTGTCGGGTATGATAGGCCTACGTGGTCGATTTAAAATCCTGCGTTCGTTAGCGAATAATTGAATCGTTTGAAATGTTCTATGAGTTATCTGATATGTTTTAAACATATGTTTAAAACGGCGCCACCCTAAAACGTGTGTAGCTGCTTCTTGACAGATTTGACATAGAATTGCTTGGTGTGGTTGTGGAAGATTATGTAATTAACAATAAGTTAACAGTTTATGTCAATATCCCATTGATATTTCGTTGATTTACGATGATCACTTCACGAGTTATTTCTCTTAACTGCGAATAACTAGCTGCCACAATAGTATGAGTTGCCGTTAATTTGACGTTGTACGCTCATTCCGTAATTGAAACAATATTTATATATAAACTATAAATCTGTTTTTGGAAGATTATGTAATTAATAATAAGTTAATATAAATACAGTTTATATATTTTATAACATAATAATAAACACCTATCGAATGTTATTATAACTTGTTGAATAACACACATGAAATAAATAATATAAACTAAGCCACGCCCAATTCCCGTATAAACAGTAATCTTGATGTTATTTTCTGGCATATAAATAAACATCTATAGAATGTAAATATAAATGGTTATACACACATTAAATAAATAATAATAACTAAACCACACCCAATTCACCTATAATCAATAACAGTACTAGCGGTACTATACTGACGTCCAAAAGAAAGTATACACACTAAAAGTATGACTAAGTTTTGTTTAGATTAAAAACATTTGATAAAGCATTACTGAGTTTGTCTCTTGCGTCCAAACTCAACATTTCTAAGCAAAATAAAAATGTGAAACAAATTGACATTCTACCCTAATACCGTATACCATGGAAAAATGACTTTGATTGATGCAGCACAAAATGCACAGTGTATACTTTCTTTTGGACGTTAGTATATTTTCGACCTATATAAAGCGTGCTTCTATATAAGAATTTACATATTATAGATAAAAGAAATAAAAAATAAACAAAATCAACCGGAAAAAAAGAACAATAAAAGATTATGAAAATATGCCCCCCCCCCTCTACCTACACACATTGTGGAAACCATAATGATATTAAATTCATCTTAATTAAAATATATTGTTTCTTTTGAATTTCCTGGAACTGAATTCTACATAAGAGTTTACATAATTATCTTATTGTTACATCACCTATTTTCCCCATACTTGAGAATTTTGTTGTCGGGGAGTTCTGTCCCTTACTCTCTGATGTTCACTGTCCATTACGTTTTCGGGTACGCCGTTTAACAAATGATCAAACTAATGAGAGGCCACACAATAGATTGGTGAAGAAATGTAAATGGAAAGATAAAAGGGGAGATTTATATGTTGATAATATTGATTTAGAAGCTGTTGATAAATTGTTCAAAAGTATAAGTAATATACATTTAGATAATATTACACATGATGATGTAAATAGTATAAGTATCGACTTATGTAAAATATACTTAAAAAGCGCCGACAAAACCTTTCCAACTGTTAAATTTACAGGCAACCGAAATGCTAATAAACAATGGTTTGGTAAAGAATGTAACATAGCCAGGACTAAATACCATGTTGCCAGAAAGAAATATCAACAACATAGAAATAATAGAAATAAATTATATATGGTCGAATCGAGCAAAATTTACAAAGTAACTATGAATAAATATATGAAACAAAATGCACGTCAGATTCAGTGTAAGTTGAGAAGTATGCAGAGTATAAACCCAAAGGACTTTTGGAAAATGATAAATAACCTTAATAAGCAACATGACGATACAAAGTCCGACATCAATGTAGAGATTTTTTATGATTACTTCAAGAATATAAATGATAACACTGACATCGAAAACGATGACGAACATATACTATTCAAAAAAAGTAGGGGATATTTGATTTTTAAGTGTTATTAAAGTCACCTAATGAAACTGACGAAGAAACAAATGACAAAATGAAATGAAGTTCACATTCATCGATTTATTCCAAATGATCGTTAGACTAAGTAAGGCACAGACTGACCATTATAAGGGTAAAATGATACCCGGGGTCAAACAGCAAAGTTACCACAGCATCACAACCAAGTCAGTAACGGGTAAATCCTCCTCTGTTTGCCAAACAAGCATTGATCCGACGTGGCATACTCCTAATGCGACGTCTAAGGTCATTTTGTTCCAGATTGTCCCATTCCTGTTGCAACGCAGCAGCAAGTTCTTGGACATTGGCAGGACGTTGTTGACGTTGACGTAACCTCTGTCCAAGCATGTCCCAGACATGCTCGATGGGGGAGAGGTCGGGACTCAGTGCTGGCCAAGGTAATGTGGTGATGTTCTGTTGTTGGAGGTAACCTGTAACGATCCTGGCCCTGTGACATCTTGCGTTGTCATCCTGGAAGATGAAACGGCGGCCATGACGTCGTGCGAACGGCACAACATGGACTGCCAAGATGTTGTCCCGGTATTACTGGCCTGTAACACGCCCTGCAACAACATGTAAAGCCGTTCTTCCAGCAACAGTGATGCCTCCCCACACCATAACAGAACCACCCCCAAATCGATCATGTCTGATGACGTTAACGTCTTGGAAGCGCTCGTTTCGACGACGCCACACCCTCCTACGTCTGTCCAAAAAATCAACAGTGAACCTTGACTCATCTGAAAACATCACATTGCTCCAGCGTCGATTATCCCAGTGTTGACGATCCCTACACCAACGACGTCTTGCCTGAATGTGATGATCTCTCAAACAAGGGATCACGCGAGGACGTCGGGCGCGAAGGTGACCCCTATGCAGTCGATTCCGAATCGTCTGGCCACTCACTCTCACACCAGTGTCTGTTTGAAGACGAGCGCTGATCTGATTTGCTGTGATGACACGATTTCTCAAGGCCAAGGTACGGATAAATCGACCCTGGGCTTGAGTTGTCGCCCTTGGTCGACCTGAGCGTGGTCTGTCCTGTACAGATTGTGTATCACGGTATCTGGACCATAGCCTGCTTATGACAGACTGAGAAACATTCATCGTCCGCGCCACAACCGCCTGTGTTGGGCCGATCTGTAGCATGCCAAGGGCACGTAACCTTTCATTTTGGGTAAGCCGACGCATATCAAAATTTGTTTTCTGGTCACTAAAACAATTAAACTGATGTTTCCACCCTGGAATTCAATGCCACAATGACTGTAACATTCAAAGTCAGAGTCGTGCAAATCTTGGGTTGGACCCCCATGATGATCCCAAGCATCACCTGCATTCCATGCGGTAGCTATTGGTGCGTTTGGGCGTCACATGTAACTGGAAATGTTTCTTCTGTTAGGTTCTATAGTGACTTTTTTCGTAGTCATTTGCATATTTTAGTATTATGCCCCCAAAATCAAATATCCCCTACTTTTTTTGAATAGTATATTATAAACAGCAAAAATGCTACCTTAGATAAAGAAATTTCCAGAGAGGAGATACTCTATTCTGTTAAATGTTTAAAAAATAACAAGGCAGCTGGAACCGATATGGTAATAAATGAATATATTAAGTCCACAATTGATATATTTATACCCATTTATTGCATACTTTTTAACCATATTTTTAACTCTGGGATTGTACCAGCTTCTTGGACTATTGGGAGCATTATGCCTATATATAAAAAGAAAGGTGACCCCGGCTTACCCGAAAACTATAGCCCCAAACGATCCTCAGCTGTCTTGGAAAACTTTTTACTTCCATTATAAATAATAGATTAAATAATTTTGTAGACGGACATAATATACTTAACGAAACACAGGCTGGGTTTAGAAAAGACTACTTCGTGACAGATCACTTATTTGCATTGTATGCAATTATATCTTATTTAAGGTCTCAGAAAAAGAAACTTTTTTGTACATTTATAGATTTTAGTAAAGCTTTTGATCAGGTATGGAGAATAGGTCTCTGGTATAAAGTTCTGAATTCTGGTATTACTGGTAAATGTTTTAATGTTATTTACAACATGTATCAAGACATAAAGTCTTCTGTGAAATATAAAAACAAAATATCTGAAGCCTTTCCCTGTAAGACAGGAGTTCGATTTGCACTGTATTTAAATGATCTCGAATCATTTTTACTAAAACATGACTGTAAAGGCGTCCAAACAGAATACTATGAAAATGAACTTTTAAACTATCTAAAAATATTTGTACTTCTATATGCTGATGATACTGTATTATTTGCTGACAATGTAAATGATATGAACAAATTGCTAAATATATTTGGTGAATACTGTACTCTATGGAAACTAAATGTAAACATAAATAAAACCAAGGTTGTGATTTTTGGATCAAGAGGCCAGTCTAATGCAACTTTCTCGTTACTGAATCATGATTTAGAAATATGTGATTCATATAATTATCTGGGCGTTGTATTCTCTAAAGGATGTAGCTTCGCGCAAGCGCAACAAAGAATTAAAAACCAGGCTTCTAAAGCTCTATACCTCTTGTATTCGAGGATCCATAATATCAATCTGCCAATTGACTGTCAACTTAAACTTTTTGATTATACTATATTGCCGATTGTACTGTACGGTTGTGAAATATGGGGATTTTGGGAATTATCCCCCATAGAAACTATCCATAACCAGTTTTTAAGAAATATATTGAAAGTAAAAAAAAGTACTCCTCTGTATATGTTATATGGTGAAACTGGGAGATACCCTTTAAATATTTATATTAAGCATAGAATGGTTAGCTTTTGGATTAAAATGATAACTGGTAAAACTGGCAAATATTCTTTGTTATTATATAAGTCTCTATTAAAAAATGATGTAAATCATACTAATAAATGGCTAATGACTATCAAACATACCCTTGACGAATGTGGAAAAAGTTATGTATGGAACTCACAACAGGCGCGAAATCCAGTTAAACTGAAATATGAATTGTTACAACGACTAAAAGATCAGTATATTCAAACCTGGTCGTCAAATATCCAGAAATCGAATAAATCTGTTAACTATAGAATCTATAAGACCGAATTTAAATTAGAACCGTATCTTATCTCACTGCCGAATAATTATAAATATTCTTTTATAAGATATAGAACATGTAACCATACACTCCCTGTTGAGGTCGGGAGATTGATGAATGTAGATTTTGAACAGAGAATTTGTCCTTTATGTGAAGCAAATACAATCGGCGATGAATATCACTACCTATTCAATTGTACTTATTTTATTACAGAAGGCGAAAAATATATATCCAGATATTATTATACAAGACCCAATACTTTTAAATATAATAAACTTTTGAATTCAAGCAAACAATCAATAATTATAAAATTATGTATGTTTTTTAAGGTAATACTTAACAAATTTATGTCCATTGACTAAGAAATTAAAAGCCTCCATCTTGTAAATATGTAAATAACCTATCACTCATATGTCATGTATTTGATCTGAGTTGTGAATAAAGTTCTGTTCTGTTCTGTTCATAATTAAAAGAAATAAAAAATGAAGAAAAGCAACCGAAAAAAGAATAATATTAGATTAAAAAAATAAGCCCCCCCCCCACTTCTACCTACACACATTGTGGAAACCATAATGATATTAAAATCATCTTAATTAAAATATATTGTTTCTTTTGAATTTCCTGGAACTGAAGAGTGGCCACTTCGCCTACTGCAGAGTTTTCAGAGAAACATAGCTGACGTGTAAGCTTACTAATATCTAAATGAGAATATTTATTTGTGGCACGCGTAGACTTGGCTGGTAGAAATGGAATATGCTGTAATCTTTTATAGACAAAGCGGTATACTAGATACGATTCAATAGTCAAGTAAAATGTCTCCACACGCGTTGATATTATGTGTAAAGCCTAGCTCACAACCCGCCCTAGCTGTTTTGACATGCACGGGTCGTAAGCTTTGGTAGCTCGCAGACCAGCAGCGAGAAACCGGGTGAAAATTTTGTATGTGAAGGATTAAAAGTCTCTACGGTCAGTCTGCGGTCTTCTACGGTGCCGAACACACGCAGGTGACGTGTAGGTCTCACGCACTGGTTACTAAAATTTCCCCGTAGACTGCCCATAGTACTAGCACGTACGGTGGTTTGTGGGTTAGGCTTTAGATGTCGCTCACACATTAACTAATATTAAAATACAGATGTGACGTCATCCTTTGATGTTGGAGTACCATTTCAAATAATCGTACGGGAAATGTGCCAAGCGTAACTTGGTAAAATATTGAACTCGAGTGACGTATTTCATTGCAAAGCACGTGCAAGTGTCTGTATTTTAAGTTGTTTAATGGTCTCGAGCTTGAGACATTGCGTAATATATTGTTACAATATATTACTTAATGTCTCGCTCTCGACCATTAAACAATACGTAAGTACGGGAGAACTACACAACACGAAAAGTAATATATTCCAAAAATATGAGCACAACCGTAAAGCTGCACTACTTTGTTTCACTGTAAACGACCAAAAGATAAAAGGTATATGGACACAATCTGATTTTAACACTGGTTTAATAACATTTTAAATTTTCGCTCGTCCTAGAGCTATTCATCAAAAAGTTTTGCATGGCGACATAAAGTATTCTGTAGGGATGATACTTTTCCGGAAGAGGCTAAAAATGTCCGAAGGTATTCCTACAAGAAAGATGGCATTTAACGCAGCTCGCTTTGTGATGAATCAAGTTATTTCATCCTACATCGAGCGCCGGGATGTACAGAATTGTGTCTTTCAAAATATTTATATTTCCAAGAGTTTTATCAATTCATAAAGATTTCTCAATTTTAATTTGAAAATGAAGCATACATATCATTATTGTTATATTTATAAGGGTTTAACGTCCCATTGGCTAATGACGACGGCGTACGCCATACAGTGTGCTATGAGGGACATTTGGCTCGGGCAGCGGCACTATGGTCTTCTCTTATATCGAATTCCAACTGCCAAGGGATCTTTTACGTGTTCTGTCAGGCTCTCCGCCCTACACCACTGACAAGAGGAAACCACGTCGGAAAGTCCCGATGAACTTTCTCGGCCAATGCAGGGGTCGAACACGCGACCTCCAGGCTAGCGAGTGAGCGTCTTACGCACTTAGCCACCGTGGCTCCCTTTGGAGTGATGGAACTGAAACCACAGTGGTTCGTTCTAATAGGCCTTGGGGGGGGAGGGGGTATTCTGGTAAACCGTCTTCATTAGCCCAGTCGGAGCAGAACAGTAGGACGTTAATTCCCATCTCATTTCATTTCATTTATTCTGGTAAAATCTGAACAGAATTTGAGGAAGAAGCTTGGCCAGTATTAATTTCCATCACAAATCAGCACCAATAATCTTTAATTTATTGAACATTTTAATCCAGGCTCTGGTTTAAATAAATAATATTATTCGTATTTCGGTAAAACCTAAATAGGAATTGAGAAATCAGTGTCAACCATTATCGCAAATTTTAAATAAACTCTCCTGAGTTAGGTGTGTTGCCTTGAAAGATAGAATATCGAGAATAATCTTTTTCGCGTCATCATATATTTTTAATTATTTAGGTAAAATCAGAATATGGATTTCTATAAAACTGGAAGATATGATGGTTCGATTCAAGTGTTGATAAGAACGCTCCTAGGGATTTTAAAGCGTGATTTTTCCCTGGTCAGTGAGTTGTGCAGGGCTAAAACTATTTGTTAAGGCCAGCTCAATTTTCGTCGAGGTCGCTGAGATGTAAATAAGGTTAGGGCACGTGATTGTTGGCGAGATTGTAGGCTAGGCCCAGGGTTAGAGTTGGGTTTAACGCTAGCCCTGTTTACAGCTCGTGACCTTTGAACTTGAAGTTGGCCTTATCAATTGGATTTAACCGTGGTACAGGATGGAGGGTGTGACAAGGAACAGCATCTGGTTGTTCTGATGGCACAAAAATCGTGGTCCCGTATACACATCGACGTGCATGCATAGAAATGCAATGGGGTTTAACGTAATGAATACCTTGACTGCAGTTGGAATACCAATAAGTATAGACGAAAGCACGGCATTTCCCCATACCCCACTCCACCCATAGCATTACCTCTATAAAACTTAAAATGTATTTGCATTATTCGGTGAATACCTTGACAGTTGGAATACGAATAAGTCTAGACGAAAGCATCTCTTTTCCCCCTCCCGCCCCCCTCCCCATAGCATTACCTCTATAAAACTTAAAATGTATTATTCGGTGTTTTTTTGTCGTTAAGACAGAATAATATTTTCTATAAGTATTATAGATCTATATGATGCTTACCTTTAGATAACTAGCATAATTAATTTCCTTATCAGACATGTTGAGGTGTCTTACGGTCCTATGTATTGAAGCACAGGTATGGTTACTAAGACGCACTGTAAGGTAACGAACAATATATACCCTTAATTGGCGTTTCACGGAGAATGGCGTACCAATGTGTCATATGACCAATTCTCGGAGATTGTAAATTCAATTTAACTGGGAATCACCGATTCACTGCACTACAGACAGAAGACACATACTTGGGATATACACGAACAAACCGATTCGAAGAAATGAAATGAAATAGGGTATAACGTCCTACTGCTCTGACTGGGCTAATAAAGACTGGCATACGCCATACAGTGTGCTATGAGGGAACTTTTTCCCGGACAGCTGCACTACGGCTTACTCTTATATCGAAATCCAACTGTCAAGGGATCTTTTACGTGCACGCCAATGTGTACACGGGACCTCGGTTTTTTGTCCTACCCGAACGACTAGACAACTGTTCTTGTCAGGCCCTCTTTCCTGCAACACTGGATTTCGTTTCTTTCCATCTCACCCTTCACCACTGACAAGGTGGGACCACGCCGGACAATCCCGATGACCTTTCTCGGTCAACGCAGGATCGAACACTGAGCCACTCACTCAGCCATGAACTCGTTTAATGTGGTATAGCTGAAGGGACAACATTTTTAAAAACAAATTAGAGAGGATTCTACCGCATAACACATATTTTCAGCAGGAATTTCCGATTTGTGAACGTTATGACAGGAGTGTGGTGTCCACTGATATCCCAGGAGGAACTTCAGATACCGTAGGGAACACAACCCAATATTTAAACCGTCAGCATATCTGAGTGACGGTATATTTTTAACACAAGTTGAGCATTAATTTAATAATATATAACATTTAAGGCTTAAACATATATTATGCAAGAGCTAAATCTATCTATTGCAGGTCTTTCTTTAGGCCTGAAATGTCATCTAAATTATAAATTAGACATTAATTAACCTATCCAGATCATAATCAACTCTCGATGGCATCCCTAGCCTGCGATCATAGTGGATTATGAGCCGATTTACTGCATAACTTTCCTTCACGATTTAATGATTAAATGGATAATCGAGACTGCTGTTTATCGTACTGACTTTAGTAGTAATGATGATCGAGGCTAGGCGGAAATTTCAATCGCTTAATTCTCGGTTCATAGTGGATCAATTTGAATGAAATTTTCAGCAAATTGCCTTCACATTATCTAGTTTTTAACTATTATAGTGCGAACTGCCAACACGTTAACTGGTTTAAACATATTTTATTACTTTAAAGTAAACGGATCGGACAAAAGTTACTAAAACTTACAAAAGAGTCCTCTCCAACAAAGTCAATGAATGTACATATCGGATACTAATAAACAATACATTAACAAAACAAACATATTTACACAAGTTCAGTGTATTTAAAATATGGACCAGGGAGAATACCTCGGTAAAACATACCTTACAACAGCGAAATATACGAAAGCGTGTAAGGTTTATTTGGCGAGGTTCAAATATTAAATTAATTTCTATTTAAAGGAAAAACTGTTTGGCGGGCGGTAGCATGTTTATCCATTCTAGAACTACATCATGATTTGAAACGCTCTGTGTTTTCTATGTTTTTCTGTACTTGCTTAACTAAATACATATTTTGATTTGTCGTTAATTCCGGGTCACCAGAAAGCAGTGTCGTCAGATTTAGGTTATAATAGTTTTTTAATTGATCAAATAATATACTCCTTTGCTCATCATACAAAGGACAATGTTGGAAGTAGTGTTGCGTATCTTCCGTTTCATGGCCACAGTGACATTTTTGATCATTTACAAGGTTAGATTTATAAAGATGTGATTTTAATGGGCTACAGCCGTGACGAAGACTTGTATGCAATATATTAAGTTTCCTGTTACATGTTAATAGATAATTAGGTGGAGGTTTTGGTTGATCAAAGTTTGTTATTTTTGATCTGAATACTGCTCTACTAGGGGCAGCTTTTGTTGACGAATCTAACGAATTCCAGGCGCGAATTGTGCTTAGGAAAAACAATTTTTCTAAACGTGACGTTCGACAACGTGGCGTCAATAGATCGTTGGTATTTCGTAATGAATATGGTGTGTTATTGTTTCTATATTGTTGTAAGATATGTGTAAGAAACACAGGACAATTATTGTTGTATATATCGTAAAGAAGTATCAGTTTCTGTCTGAAACGTCTGGTTGACAGTTTGTCCCATCCCGTTTCTTGATAAAGGGCTTCTTTACTCGCAAACTTGGGTAAACCCGTAACTATACGAGCAGCTTCTAACTGAATTTTTTCTATACGAATACTATCATTTTTGGTACAGTTATCCCAGACCGGACTAGCATATTCCAAGATCGATCTGATGTTGGCCCATTTTAAATCTTGCGACAAAGTAATGCCTAGGTGTTTGTGGTACGGGACAATATCGAGTTCAGTTCCCCCTAATTTGAGGGAGGGCAGTTTCCTTAGCTTCTTCGGTGAAAATAGCAAGACTTTTGTCTTATTCGGATTGAAATTTATCAGCCATTTTTGTGACCAAATGTGTAATCGGTAAAGATCATTATTGAGCGAATTTTCTAAGTCTTCGATACTAGATTTAGTACAACCAATGGCTGTATCATCAGCAAATAACCTGGCAATGTTATTCAGTACATCATAGATGTCGTTTATGAAAACAAGGAACAAGAACGGTCCCAACACGGATCCCTGTGGCACTCCAGAATTCAAGTTAATCTGATTGGAGTAAACATTATTTACTAATACTTTTTGTTTCCTTCCTTCTATGTAGCTTTTTATCCAAGTCTGACAGGGTTCATCGATTCCATATTTACTGAGTTTATATAGTAGACCAGTGTTATCTAATCTCCCATAATGTATCTTTACCATTTAGCTCTTGAATAAAGTTGACGACATACAGTGTTACATAGTTCATTATAGAACTGGAGCTTCTATTCACGTGAAAACAGCATACACTTCCGGTATAATAGGTTTATTATGAGGAACGGATACAGAATGATATAGATTATCATACAGGTGCGGGGGATCACGGTGGCTAAGTGAGTAAGACGATGGCTCGCTAGCCTGGAGGTCGGGTGTTCGATCTCTGCACTAGCCGAGAAAGTCCATCCAGATTATTCGTCGTGGTTCACCCCTTGTCAGTGGTGCAGGACGGAGGGACTGACAAGGACAGCAGTCTAGTCGTTCGGATGGGGCGAAAAACCGAATCCCGCGTACACATTGGCGTGCACGTAAAAGTTCCCTTGACAGTTCCAGAAATAACACCCAGGAACCAAAAGGTTAACACCACGGTAGGAATGAACAGAATACAAATGTACTTGATATCTGTATTGTTAAACATACATTATGCAAGAGCTAAATCTGCCTATTGCAGGTTTTTCTTTAGGCCTGAAATGTTATATAAACTATTAATTAGACATTATCAAATCTCGATCCCATCGGATATCTCCGATATTAAGTAGATTAGAACGGTTCAGTCATATTTTGATTTAATCTAAAAATGGAGGAGCGAGACTCCTTCGAACAACCAGTACGGTGGTTTCAATTAATGCACACGTCTTGTCAAACCTTCAAAGGCTAATACTTCGCTCGCAATAGAGTAATTTGAATGAAATTTTTTAATTTATTCATTTTACATTATCTTTTTTTAAACTATTATAGTAAGAATGGCCAGCTCTTTATCTAAATCCTATATAATGTATCTTTAATAGCAATTGCAGGATATGAGGTACACGCACCGATACATACAGACACACAAGGCAAATCCCAATACGGACATTACGCAGTTAGTAATAAACAGGGGGGGGGGGGGATGGCAAAATAATTAGCACACGCGCGCTGTATCATACGGTCTGTCATTGAGTCAACTGGCGGGGTTTCGATTCGATAAAATTGAACCATGAGTTAGTCCCGAAATGATCTAGTTTGTGTCGAGTGGACGTTAAACCACATTTCTCTCTCTCTCTAGTAATAAACAAAAGAAGTATTTAGAAATAAAGTGAAACTATAATTTCCTTTCCGATCAATTTGGGTGTGACTAATGCACGGGTTGCAGGAATCGAAGATGACTAATATGTTTGTGCTATGCATGAACATATCTGGGTATTACCAGCAAAATGATTTTACAGAATTTCAATAAATAGTTCATGAAAAGTACAGTTTTTACTTTCGGGATTTCCCAATTCCTTGTTTTACAACACGACGTCAAGTTTAATGAGAAATGATCTGCAATATGGTTAAAGTAGCTAGGTTTCTAATTCAATATCATTCAGAGTCTTCGACATTGAAAACACGAGGCTAGAAATATTCCACAAGTCATGTGAAACGGTGACGCCATTTTCTTACATGGAGAGCATGCGCAATAAATACTATCGGTGTAGACTGGAACAACCAGGCGCTAGAGATTGCCATTCGATTAAGACTTCTGTCGTATTTTGCCGAACATAACAGATTAGAAATTGAATGTAAATCAGTTTATATACATTCATATTACATTATTATATTTATGCGCTGAGACCCATTTGTGTCAATTTCTAGGTCCAGAATATTAGCGATTTGGCTCCTTTAAGTCTATTTGTTTAGTGCCAATGGTAAAAAGTCTATGAGCCCCGCCCCGTTACGCGACAATTCAAACGACTAAACGCTCTTACTTTACCAAACTTTCAGTCCTGCTGACAGGGATCGAGCTCGGAACTCCCTGGTTAGCGAGCCAGCGCCATACCCACTGACCCACCGTGGTTCCCTTTAAGTTTTATGTTTCAATGGGAATTTGTGAGAATTTATCTTAATCGGCTTATCAGTAAATGAATGTTTCCTGACAAATATCAGTCAGCGATCTTCAGTATATAAAAAATAGTAATAATATTTTTTTGTAAATGTAATTATTGCATATTATTACTTTCACTTTGGACAGGGTCATGTGTATCTCATATCTCAAGGTGTGGCGATGTTGGTTGGTGATGTAGATCCCCGAGGGAAGGAACGCCAGTCCTTCTCAACTTTATAAAAAATACAGATTAACATAAATATCTCACAACTTAAAATAAAATAAATATCTTACTGCTAAATGGTATGTAATACAGAGAATACAGAAA